GGAATGTGGTGGAGTAAATGTGAAGAAATGGAAGGAACAACCAGTGAGGGAATGACTTGCAAGAGAAAAAGAAACATGTCATTGAAGAAAAATGGAAAGATCAAGTAAAAGGAATAAAGTCCAAGAAAAAAGAAAAAAAGATATTGAGCAAAATATTGGAAACAAGAAGATGAGCTATGTATAAATACAAGACGTGGGAGATGCAGAAAGACATCCCAGCAGAACAGAAAAAGAGAGTAAAGAGCAAACGAGCTGGAGAATCATAGGTGTGGGAAACACGGGTGAGTGATACTTGAGAGAGAGTGAAGTGCATCTGAGGGGGAGCCTTCAAAAACAGGCGAACCGCTCAAAGGGCCTAGACGAGTCTAGGGTTACACGGGGTGTGCGAGGCACACATAGTGTATGGGCTGATAGAATTCATGTTGTAAGGGGCTCTGCATGTCTCATCACTTTGTTGATGAAAAGTCCGAACAAAGATTCAATGACATGAAGAACCTCAACACAATTGTTGAGAGAAATGTAAATGTCAGCAATTTCAAAGAGCAAGGGATTTGGGACTTCCTAGAGAGTCTAGGACTAGAAGAAACTGTCACATATGCTTGCCCACACAGCAAAATTCTGATCAAGGAATTCTATGCTAACATCTCGAAGAAGATTGTGAGGGCGGGAGATCCGATGTACCATCGAGTGTACATACGGGGAAAGATCCTACACTTCTCTCCAGCAGTGATCAATAAGTTCTTAGGATTGAAGAACACAGTGGTGGCAACCATGGACGAATTGGATAGAGAGATTGATCAGAAGGAACTGGAAATAGCTCTCACTGATAGCTATGACGAGAAGAGGAAAGAAGAGATAGCACCAGTAGACCTGAATTTTGAATCTTCAGTTCTGTTCAAGATCGCCAGATCCAACTGGTTACCAACTCAGCGATCGAGTCTGATCCACAAGAGATTGGCGATACTCATCTACTGCGTGAAGAAGGGAATCAAGATCAATTATGGAAGTATGATCTTTGATCACATTCTGGATAGAGCACTGAACTTCAGAGCAAGGTTCAGGTTACCCTATCCTTGCTTGATTCAAAGTATACTCATCAAGCAGTGCCCTGAACTCATTGATCCAAAGGAGAACACTGAGGTTGTTCAAAAACCTCTAGTAGTTGAGTCAAGAATCAAAAGGAAGAAGGGAAAAGGTAAGAAGGACTTCAAGAAGATGCTGGAGACACTCAAGGACGCAGAAAAGGCTCTGATCAAGATGGAACTCGGTCTAAGGAAGCAGGCAACACACTGCCAGAAGATTCGTGCATCAGTCCATGAATTTGTGGAAGCAACTCTGAGTAATGTGCTCATTATTCAATCAGGTATTCCTCAACTGGATAAACTTGTTTGTTGATTATTTCATTCATGCCCACAGGGGGAGAAATTGAAGAAGCAGAAGGAGATCTATACTCAGAAGAAGAAGATTCGGAAGAAGAAGAAGAAGAGCCTGAGATGCCCAAACAAACTTCAGGCTCTTCTTCTTCTTCTTCCGAATCTTCTTCTTCTGAGTATAGATCTCCTTCTGCTTCTTCAATTTCTCCCCCTGTGGGCATGAATGAAATAATCAACAAACAAGTTTATCCAGTTGAGGAATACCTGATTGAATAATGAGCACATTACTCAGAGTTGCTTCCACAAATTCATGGACTGATGCACGAATCTTCTGGCAGTGTGTTGCCTGCTTCCTTAGACCGAGTTCCATCTTGATCAG